TTTTGTGATTTTATGTCCCAAGTCTTAAAATGTCAAAAAAAAAAAAAACCTGCACATTTATTTATCTTATGCCAAGAATTCCATAGAGCTATTTTTCAAGTGAAGAATTTAAATTATTATTATTATGTTTGCTGTTTGAGAATTACCGAGGTATTTATACTTTGTTAAGTGCAAAGGGAAATTACGTACTAAATATAAAAATAATATTGTGATATTCTGCTGTAAAATAACCTATGTGAAAGAGATGTTTCCCTCCCATCCTTTCTAAAGGCCATAAACACTAGATTTAAATATAAATTATATCTGGATATAATTAGGAAGACCATTCTTAGCTAACATGTCTGTCCTTTAACAGAAGAGAAATTAACAGTATTTCAAATAAAGAAACTAATATGTCCTTTCTTAGAAACTAACGAGGTGTAAAGATACAGCTCAGTGGTAGAGCAAACACAAGGTCCTAGGTTCCGTCCACAGCGTAGAGCGAGCATGTGAGGAAAGGAGTTGGTACAACAGACTCATACATGCCAACGAAGCAGAACACAAATTATGCCAACATAAGAAGTACTGGCTTCCAAGTTTCTACCATCGACCACTTTGCACTTGCTACGGGAGACCCACACCCACATCCAGGATTTAAGCAGCTGCCTCTTGGACATAATATCCAGAGCGGCGGTCCTATCAAAGCAGGCCCACCAGACATTTGGCTCTGTCTTTCTAGCTGTATGATCAGTACAGAGCTACTATGTGAAAACAGTGGGAAATTTTTCTATTATACTTTTTTTCTTGTATAAACAACTTTTAAAAATGGGAGGGAGGGGAAAAGAGAGAATAGGGATGGACTCCTGTGGCAAGCCCCCAACCTTTAGGAACTCTTTCACTGTAGGAGTTCTGTCTTAGTTCTCAGGGAAGTTAAGAAGCACTGTTGTTTGAGAAGCTTGCCTTCTGGATACGCACAGTCGCTCAGGAGAGCTATGTTTACATCATCAGAAATTAATGCCACGCCCCCCCCCCCCCACACACACACACACACACACACTCAGAGTCTTGTACGAAAATGCTAGCTTCAAAGCCTGGAGAGTTTATCAATATCTTCATTGGCGCTATGAACAGGAACTCCAGCACAAAGACAGATGCAAAGAGAACATGGCTAGAGTTTGCCTTGCTTTGCATTCTGTGTTGACATTACCAGAGTCACTGTGGGATTCGAGATTATCTTCCGTGGACTTTTTCCAGGTATTTGTGATATGCTCAGGAATCAAATGAGAAGTGAAGTGACAGTGACCCAGCAATCACACAGTGACAAGAAGTCGCCAAGCGATTTAATGGGGAGATTTAGTACTTTACAATCAGAGCATGCTGTACTTCCCTGGGTCTCAAGTACACTTAGCTAAAATATTCTCGGTCAGTGAAGTGTTGTTTAGCATACAAAACACCCAGGTTCCATGCCAACACTTCATGAACTATTTGTGCAGTATTGCACACCTGAAATCCAAGCACTCAGGAAGTGGAGGCTGCAGGCTCAGGAGTTCAAGGTTATCCTTGGCTGCACAGAGAGTCCAAAGCCAGCCTGGGCTACGTAAGACCCTATCTCAAAAGGTTTCTGTCATTATTGTGTTTGTTCATAAAGTTACAAATCACTACTTCCAAGATTCCTTTTTTTTTTTTTAAAGATCTATTTTGTCTTCTGTCTGTCTGTCTGCAGGTACCCAGGGACATCAGAAGGATGTCTTGGATCCCCTGATGCTGCAGTAAGAGGCAGTTGTGAGCTGCATGATGCAGATGCTCAGAACAAAGTCCAGTCCTCTGCAAGGGCAGCACATGTCCATAACCACTAATCCACCTCTCCAGTCCTATCAATTATTTTCCTTGAAGCACTTAGAATCATTTCCATCAGCTTTCTGTTTTCTTCCTAGAATTGTCCTGTAACATGGGTAAGATTGTGACAACAAGGGTTTCTCATTTTAAAACTCGACTCGGCATTTGAGTCAGGCAGACCTTACAAAATGCTACACAGAGAAAAGAGAATAATATAGTTTAATGTGCTTCTAAATGTCACTGTAAATATTCAGTGCTAAAAAAAAAAAACCCATTTCTGTAGACTATGGCCACAGGAATCTCAAACAGAATCTCAATCTTGAAGAATAAAAGATACTGGCCTGCTTCAAGCTTCACAGAAACCTACTGTCTCTGAGCAATGTATTTTAAAATATATGCTGATGGTTTATTTGGATAACCTTAGGCAGATTTATCTATCTCTTAGTGAAGAACTCATCTCTTGGTGAATAAAAACCAAGAAATTCAGAAGCGCTGGCCTTAATTTCAGCCCAGGGGAGCTTCAGACAGAAAGCCCACAAGGTTGAAGCTACATTTGGACACACTAGGAGACCTTGTCTCAAATACCCAAGAAGAGCAGGAAGAAGGACCAGCAAGCTCACTTCTTTCCTGTTTGCAGTGCCAGGCAAGTGCTCTACCGCACAACTACACTCCTGGAGTATTTGAACAGAACTCAGGAGGCAGAACAAAGTTGATCAACCAACCAAATAAATAAAGATGAGAATTTGGTAAAGACATCTCTTAGAATAAATACTTACCAGATCCAAGCATTTAAATATTAACGTAAAAATGAAATGATGCCAAGCTATGGGCAACAGCCTCCATTGCAATTCATGTTTGCACCAACATTCACCCTTCACACACACACACACACACACACACACACACACACACACACACACACTCAAATCCACACATATCTCTATCTAGTTGAGAAAACAATTAAAAAGCAATCCCTTCTTTATAGTTCTTTAAAGAAACATATACTTAGTACATTTTCAAAATAAGTGAAAATTCCTAATTACTTCAAATGATATAGTTCTAAGCTGCCTACAGTTCACAACTGGGTACATTTTCAAATTTGAGTATGGTCTCACTTCCCTCACTGTTTAGAGGCGTGTTTTATGTAACAAGCACTGAATATCTTTCAGCTGTGCAACTTCCCCTCCAAAGTCCAGGCGCAGTTCCTGGAGGCTAGAGGAAGACTTAGAAACAATGCACAAGTAAGCCAAATCCCCATAGCTCAGCACTCCGCATTAGAGTGTCTTCCCTCACACAAACTGACTGCAAGCAGGCTCTTGGGTCCAGCGGTGCCCTGGCTAGCTCTGCGACTTACTCTGAGCTACAGTTTGACCTTCTTTTTTTATTTTTTATTATTGTCATTTATTACAATTTATTCAATTTGTATACCAGCTGTAGATTCTTCCCAATTCCACCCTCCCTTCTCTTCTTCCCTTATACTCCTCCCCCTGATAGGGGAGGTCCTCCATCCCTTCCCTCTAACCTTAGCCTATCAGTCTCATCAGGACTGGTTGCATTGTCTTCATCTGTGGCCCGGCAAGGTTGCACCCCCCCAGGGGAGGTGATCAGAGAGCCTGCCACTGAGTTCATGTCCGAGTCAGCCCCTGTTCCCCTTACTAAGAACCCACTTGGAGACTGAGTCTATGGGCTACATCTGAGCTGGTGTTTTAGGTCCTCTCCAAGCATTGTCCTTGGTTGGGGTATCATTCCCTTCAGGGCCAGGAACAGTGCTACCTCAAGATCCAGCTATACAACTCCTAGGCATATATCCAAAATATACTCAAGTATACAACAAGGACATTTGCTCAACCACGTTTGTAGCAGTTTTATTCATAATAGCCAGAACCTGGAAACAACCTAATGTCCCTCAACAGAGGAATGGATACAGAAAATGTGGTGCATTTACACAATGGAATACTGCTCAGCTATTAAAAACAAGGACATCGTGAAATTTGCAGGCAAATGGTGGGAACTAGAAAAGATCATCTTGAGTGAGGTAACCCAGAAAGACACACACGGTATATACTTACTTATAAGTGGTATTAGTCATACAACATAGAATAAACATACTAAAATCTATAGCCCTAAAGAAGCTAACTACAAGGAGGACCCTGGGGAAGATGCTCAATCCTCATTCAGAAGAACAAACATGACAGACATCGGAAGCAGGAGAAGACAGGGACCAGGACAGGAGTCTACCACAGAGGGCCTCTGAAAGACTCTACTGATCCAAGTATCAAAGCAGATGCTAAGACTCATAGCCAAACTTAGAGCAGAGTGTAGGGAATCATATGAAAGAAGGGGGAGATAGAAAGACCTGGAGGGGACAGGAGCTCCACAAGGAGAGCAACAGAGCCAGTTTGGCTTTCTTACTACCTCATTCCTGGGCTGTAAATGTGTACAAACTGAAGGAAATAACAGGAGATGTGAAAAATGCAACAATACCAAAAACAGATGTTGGCATAAAGTTTCAGGGCCATTTATTTGTTCACTTTTTAACATGCAAGCTCTATTTTTTTAAGGGAGGGAGGTCAGGTTTTTTTTCCCCTCTTAAAATGCCCAGACACATGGAACATTTAAAGAGATGAAGTGTATGTGATGGAGACCTGAGAGGGAGAAAACAGGAAAATAAAGAAAAAAGGGGAAAAAGTCCCAAGCCCTGTCTTTTTCGGTAGTTCTACACGGTCCCTTTTCTTGTTCTCATTTCCTCCCCTTTGGTCTGGTGAGAACTCAGTGCAGGTGGGATCAAGTTCACAGGAGTGATTTGTAGATAAGAAGGTATTAAGAAGCATGGTTTCCCTTCGGCACAAATGCTTTTGTGCCCAGGAAAATGATAGTTTTATTTTGTTTGTGCCTAATTTTTACTGAGAAATAGTTACTCCAAACCTTCTGGCTTGGGGAAAACACCAACAAAAACTAGAGTTGTACTGTCTTGGACAGTGAGTTGCACGGTACAATGAACAACCCACAACATTTTGCTTTTCTTGCAAAGATGGCACATTAGCTTGAATTCCTTCCGTGCTGGGTTCTGAGTAGCCCACGCGCCACAGCAGGATAACATGCCCCTCCTCCCCGAAGCACCTGCTTTAACAGTCAAACACCGAAGGCAGGATCAGGTTCCCTCACATTCTTATTAACAAACTTACATGATTTCCTGCTGGCAAGTTTCAGAGGCTGAACCACGACATCCGGCCGTCTCACAGCCAGTCTCCTGGGGAAAGACAAGGTCAGTGTGCCTATCAGCTTCCAGTCCAGGCTCAAGGTTAACACAGCACTGAAATAAAACATTCGTGAGGAAGACTGCGAAGAGACCTGAGACATCTGTTCCGGAGAGCTGAATCCGCTGCTTTTCAAGCTTTAAAGTCTTCTTCCCTGAAATAACTATTCTCCTCTCCATTTTCCCTGAAGCACACCCTCAGGTATTAATGTGCTAGTGTGTGCTTGTTTCAAAACAAACACCCAAGAGGACCTGGTACTGGAGTATTACTTTTGGTCATTATTCATAGAGTTAGACAAAACATAGCTCCAAATCCAAACCCAAGGGACAATGGTTCGCAAGCAGGGTTTGAAGCTCATTTCTACTGTAACTGTGCTGGCCTGATATTCTGCAGCGAACGGAGAGTCATTTGAAGGAGGCGCATTGTTGTGCCCGCGGCTTACCGTTCCTGGAAGTGCTTGGACGGAATCAGGCCTGCCCTGGGGTTGGCATCACCCTCATGCTTCGCCTGCCACCACGTCGCATCATCTTGGCTCATAATCTGAAGAATGTCCCCCCTTCTGAAGGACAGCCCTGCCTCCTTACATGGGATGGCCTTGTCCTCCTTAGGATCGTAGTCAAAGAGGGCTTTGATAAACATCTGGAAGGGAAGAAGAAACAGGAGAGGCAAAGCCATCTACATTCCTGCCACTCAGACCTAAGAAGTGGCAATTTCCAAAGCAGACATGTATTAGATGAAAAAACAAACAAAAAAACAAACATTAAATCCCTTACAAAACAATAGTTTAAAGACATACCTTGCCTTCTTTAGAAGGTGTCTCCTCTTTGGTGCTGGGTATTATCTTAAATGTAATTGCTCCCTGGGACTGACTCTGGTATCAGGGATCAAAGAAAGGGCCATTAGGGAGCTGAAGGCAAGGAGAAAATAAAACAGCCAGGTAGGGGGCTAAAGGAATTTACAGCTCTGTCATTCTACTTAGAAGAGGCCAGGAAGCTATGTTTGTAGAAATTCCAGACACACGAGAAAATTCTACACTGTGTCAAGTGAGCTCAAGACCACATTTACACTTTTGTGCCCTGTGCACTTAAGGTATCGGTACATCTGCTGCCATCCATGTCAAGTCACATCAAAACAGACACACACAAAATATGACCAAGGCTTGAAGTGAGCCCAACAGTCAATGACTACAACAGACAACGAAGATGAGAGCCTGGTGTTACGTGCCGGCACCCTTACTGGGAGACACCAGGTACTATCATTTCTGTGCTTATGGAAGTGGGACTCGCTTGACAGCAATGGGCATCAGGAAAGGACGGTAGTGGGCAAACATCGTGTACAACAAGGCCACTGAACGATTTCAGGACAGACTGAACGTCTACTCAAATTTAGTTAAAACGGTGGTTCCATGACCCATGGACACTTGCTGATTCGCCTGACCGAGACAGGCGTCCTTGTTAATGGACATTTATGAGGGCATCTGCTGGAAGTGCTCAGTTATCTTCTATTGCTGTAAGCTGCAAGTTCACGTAAGAGGACAGTCTCCGTTTCACCCCTACACCTGAACCCAAGAGTAACAATCCCCACGCCTAAAACAGTTTCATCCAAGTTTTAGCACTAATGAGAGAGGGGCAGAAGCAAGAGCCTGGCCAAGCAGCAGTGCAGACGCCATCTGTTCACAGCGACCCGAGTCTCTGCGGTTATTAGAACCTCGTTCGGCCCTCTTTACTTTTGCCGACATTCATTTTGTACACAAACATCCTGTCGCTAAACACAGAAGCATTTCTAAGTATGTGGGCTGCTCAGAATCCAGAGGGCTGAACCCAAACCAGACTAAGGAACCTGCAGCATGGTGATTTGATTGAGATCGACTAACGAGACAGCTTACCAAAATCTGTATTATTTCCTCAGGCCTCTTGTCTTCCACTGGGATCCCGTTCACTTCCCTCAGTTCGTCACCCACATGAATAAGACCTGACGAGCACAAAAGTTGCTAAATCAGCAGTATCACAATGCGACACTGTGATCTGTGATTGCTCCCTACGGGCAAGCATCACTGATTCCTCAAGGCAACCTAAGTATCAGAAAGGGAGCCTTCACACCCCCACACACTTGGACTGGGCCTTCACATCTCACACACTTCAATTCCACACTTTTTTGATGACGAATATCACACAGTCAGATAACAGTGCCTTGGTCTCTATCTAGATATGCTCATTACTGATATCTTAGAAAGGAGTCCATTTTTATTATTTACTTATTTTTCTTCCGTGTGACTGTGAACATGCATGTGTGTCATGTGGGCATGTATGTGCAAAGGCCAGTGGTCAAATCTGGCCTCATTCTTCAGGAGCAAACTACCTTGTTTTGGGGACTGGACCTCCCACTGGCCTGACACACAGAGACCCGGTTACACTGGTTGGCCTGTGAACTCCACCTCCACAGATGTGGGGAGATAAGCACACACCACCACACCTGGGTTTAACGTGCGTGTTGTAGGTTAAACTTGGTCCTCACACACGCAAAGCAAATACCTTTGCACCTGAGCTATTCTCCAGCACCTAAAATAGCTTATAAATTTATCTTTAAAATTGCATGCTATTAGGAGTATGTATTTTTCATACCAGACACACTAAAATAGGTCGTAATGTAACTTGTGGGTGAGGGCAGTCTCTTTGTGACAGAACACTTGGCTAGCACGGCCAAGGCCTTAGGTTTGACCCTCAGCACTGTGGGGTAAAAACCATGTGTTTGGAAGACGGTGTAAGCTAAGACTGTGTAAGGCCACAAAGGGAGACTCATCCACCAATCATTCGCTTGCATGGTGTCCACATTTGAACATGGTGAGAGATGCCTTCTTCTCGGCCTGCTAGCTTGTGTAAAAGACTGCTGCCCACTTAATTCCTCCCAGAGCACAAACAGCTTGTCCTTGTCCCGTGAACGAAGATGCGCTCACCACTTCTGTCTGCAGCTCCTCCTCGCATGATCCGGGCCACGATGATTGCCCCCGTCTGCTCCTCTTTCTTAATGGTAGCACCCTTTCAAGGCAACAGAGGTGGGAGAAGGAAAAAAAAAAAAAGCATTTGTGGGCAGATTTGTGAGCTGTATTGTAAGACAGAGATGTGGAATAATTTTCATCTGGAAAAACTAGAAACTGCTGCAAAGAGAAAGGAACAAATCGGGGCAGGCAGGCGTGCTGCCCGTCCTTCAGATGCTCTGCAGAATGTGCCACAAGTCAAGCTACATGGCACCTACATGGCACAATTCAAAGATAGGGTGACATCTCTTCTAATTCAGGCAAAATAATTTTTTTTTTTCTTTAAACTATCCACCCTGTGGTGCTTTACTTCTGGAATATTTTCTCATTTCATTTTGTCCTTATAATATCCATGTTGGGAGGCTGGAGAGATGGCTTCCCATGTCTGGAAGAGCGTGGGCTGCTCTTCCAGAAGTCCTAGGTTCGATTCCTAGCATCCACATTACCATGTGGGTTCGCAGCAGCTGTACCTCCAGTCCTGGGAGCTCAACGCACATGTGCACAGCCATACATACATGTAAGCAAAATATCCGCTTGGATAACCTAGGAGGTTTTTCTGCCATAGCAGTCATGGCACGATCACCTGGGGCCTTGGGGACCTGGACATGACTTCCTTAGCTGCCAACGGGGCAGTCCTGGGTGCCCTGACGCAGTTCAATGCTACAGAAGTTCTGGTGCCAAAACAGACAGTTCTATTTATACTGTCAAATGTTAGGTGCCAGGTTAATTTCTCTTCGGGACTTTAAAATAAATCAGCTTTCCAGAACAGGCTACAGCACTATTTTTCAACTGCATCATTTAATTTGCAGTCAGACAAACTTGGCTACATGTGAAATTTTCTCTTACAATCGCCAGTACGTAGATATTCAAGGTTATTGCTACTAAAAAGCAACAGAATGCCTGTTATTTATTTGGATATTTGTTAGCTGTTCTAAGTCATAGCCTCTGGATGCAAATGTCCTGTTTATTTCTCAGGTATAGGGAGCCGGAAGTGGCATGCCTGAAGAAAAGTCTGAGTGCTGTATGTCCACATGATTGGTGAGATCTACTTACGCCTGATGACAGAATGCAGCCCAGACTCACCAGGGGTTCTCTGTTCTTGACCAGGCGGATTATTTTCACAGAATCTTCCTCATCATCAATATCGTCTGGCATGGGGGGCAGCACAGGATCGTAACTCTTCTGAGCCACTGTATCGTGGACTGACAGCAAAGCCTGTAAGACCAATGGTTCAGAAAGAATTTATCAGACACGAAGCCCTGATTACACTGCAGTATGAATAAAACCGAAAAACATTTCCCTGTTGGTGCGTTAATTGGAAGGAAACCATTTGACGTGGGGTTTCTTTGGCTTCGGGCAGAGGGGCAGGGGCAGTCCTGCGGGGTGGCAGGAGGCAGAACTGCCAGCTGCACCTGCGCCTCCCCTTCCAGTGCCACTGACATAAGCTGACGATCTGCATTAACGTTCATCTCACCTGTGTTCTCCCTAGTACTCCCTAGAGGGTAGCAGCTGGGACCAAGATCAGGAGTAGTCCTTCCAGAGAGAAAAAAATGCGGACCCTGATACACTGCCAGCAAGCCGACAGAAACCTAAGATGCTGCTCATACTGTGTTTAATTTTTAAAAACATTTTTGATATGACTGTGTAACTCAATGGAAGTGTGGATGCTTGTGCATCTGTGTGTGAGCGCACGTGGTTAGAGGTGCACGTGCGCAGCATGTTGAGGCCTGCAGTTAATATCCGGTGTCTTCCCTGATCTCTCTCCACCGCACGGATGGAAGCAGGTTTCTCCCTGGACCCCAAGGTCAACATCTGGGCTAGTCTGGGGAGCCAGCTTTCCGGGGCTCCTCTTTGTCTCCCTGTGACAGGACCATAGACAGCTGTCACACTCTTCTACAACACGCTTTGGTCTAAACTCTGGTCCTCAGAGTCCTGTGATAAATGACTTACCCTCCCAGTCACATGACTTTTAAATATTGCCCCTGTGCTGGGGATGTAACTCGGTGCTTGCTCACTGCATGGGAAGCCCTGGGCTGGCTCCCAAGCATGCTGTAACCCAGCTGTGGAGGTCTAGGTCTATAATCCCAGCACCCGGGAGGTAGGGGCGGGAGTCAGGCACTCCAGGTCATCCTTCCTGCACATAATGACGTTACACACATCTCCTCTCTCCCTCACAGGCGTGTGTGTGTGTGTGTGTGTGTGTGTGTGTGTGTGTGTGTGTACAAACTTTCTCCTATCAGCAGAGAATTGGTCAATGCCATTAATCATTGTTCTCTGTCACATTCTTTGTAATGGGTATACATAAAAGAATAAACGTAATATTTTCTCATATAGCTCCAAGAGGAGAGAAAATGCCGGAACTATGCATGACCTATTTGAGACTGATGCACTCGGGAGCTCTCCCTCACTTGCCACACTGTCGCACCTGACTCCACTGGAACTTACTGAATATACTACCCAAACAGATTTAAAACGCATGTCCATCTTTCCAATCCAACTCTAAGATCGGCAACCTATACTACCAGCTTTTGTGAAGTTTGACAGGAACTGTCGGACTAGTGAGTTCGTGCTTCTGCCACACAACAGCACCAAGGTGGAGAGATGGGACAGACTACATCACCACTGCCATGCCCACAGAGGGCACTGTCATGGCTTCTATGCAGTCCAGCTGCACCCACTGCTGTCCCTCTCTCAGGTCTACCGTTCACGGTGCAGCCAGAGTGAGTGCTGGCTGGTCAGTGCTCTTCCAAGGCTGTCTTAACGTCCTGGGCTGAATGCACTCAGCATGCTCTTAGAGTCTCTAATCATCTACCACCTCCTGCTTCCTTCATCTTAAATAATTCCTTTTCACAGAGGCCTGGCCAAAACATTCATTATAGAAGGATGTTCTTTGATGTACTTAAATACTGTGCTTACTTTTATTATTTTACTTTTATCTGTGTGTGTGTGCGTGATGAATGTATGTAGAGACATGGGTACTACAGCACATGGTGGGTGTTAGGAGACAACATTTGGTGCCAGCCACTGCCTTCCACCTTGTTGAGACAGACTTGTTCACTTCTGTGTACAACAGTCTAGCTTACCCACCAGCTTCTGGATGCTTCTGTCTATGTCTTGACTCAGTGTGAGAGCGCTAGGATTATAACACACTACCTCGCCCACTTTTACACAGGTTTTAGGGGTATAAGCTTAAACGCCAAGCCATCTACCACAGCCTGTTCCTTGGTTTCTTGACCTTGGCATTGCATTTGCTGACACACACATATAATTGTACGTGTACTGTATTTAGTATTATGTTTCACTCCATTGTTGATATCAGCTGTCAAAAAACCAGATGCTCTGGGATGACAAAATGGTATCGATTTTTAAATTAAACAGCTTTAGCCAGCTGTCCTTTCGGACCTCAGGGGATGGGCTTCCAGGGCCACACTGATGCAGAAGTGTGTGATGGCAGGAGGTATGCACAGCACTTGTGTGCACGTTCCCACGTGCTGTAAAACACCTGCACACTGCTTGTACTCAGTCCAATGCAAACACCATGCAAACAGCTGCTGTACTGTACTGTTTGGTCAACAGTGACAAGAAAGGAATTTTTGTATGTGCACAGTACATGTTTAACATTTTTCAACTATATTCAACCAGTGCTTGGTGGAATGTACCTCTAAAACCCTGACCTAAATAACCCCACTCTCTCTCTTTTTAAACAAATACCCAGCTTCAAATATTTCATGCAGCAACAGAAAAAGATTAACTCATCTTGCACAGCTTGCAACAATCTTCAAAAGTCACACAGGGCAAGGACAGTTTTTAGTGCAAGGGAATCCCCATGACTGGGAAGAGCTGACAGACATATATTACCTCAGCATTGTTAAAAATAAACCCAAGATGAAAAGCTGTGAGGTACTGACTGAACAAAATATAAACATAAACCCAGAGGGCCAAAACTCTTCCAAGAAACCTAACTGTATGACAGAAAAATAATCACAGATATTATCCATAAGAACACTACTGTACTCAATGTCAAACACACATAACTATAGTTCAATCAAAACTTAACAGGTATGCCAAAGAAGGGTAAAAAAAAATTATTCATAAGGATGAAAAACTGAAGCAAGAGAAAAAAAAAACTTTAAGATTACTCAGAGGTGTAACTAGGTAAAAACAAAGAGTAGTCAAAGATATCAAAAGCTACTACTGGGGCTAGAGACATCGCTCAGTAGGTAAAATCATGTATTGCACAAGCCTGATGACCTATGTTCACGATCTCCAGAGCCCACATGAGAAGCCAGGTGTGGTAGTAGTCTCTGTGATGCCCACAATCCCCTGGAGAGATACAAGGTGAAGACAGTAGAATCACCCAGAAGTTTGTGCTAGCCTGGTGCATGCTGTGAATCATCAGAAATAACAAGAGATCCTGCCTCAAAATGAGGTCAAAAGTGAACACCAATTGCTAAAAGCTGTCCTTTAACAAATTACACACACGCGCGTACACACACCATACCATATTTATATAAAGAGAAAGTAATTCTTCAGAAGACAGAGGGATATAAACTATTCAAAATGAAGCAAGAATAAGGGGGGAGCTGAGGTGATGGCTCAGCCGCTAAGAGCCTGGACTGCTCTCCCAGAGAACCTGGGTTTAATTCCCAATACCTGCACAACCTACACCTGTCTATAATTCCAGCCCCAGAGCCTTTGGCTCTCAGGGCCACCAGAGCACAGGATGCACTTATATGCAGACAAAACACCAATACACACGATGGAGCAACAGGCAACTGTGGGGTTGTAAAGGGCCTAAAATGACTCTCTGAAGTATGACAATTTATGTAGGCTTGTACTTTTTCAAACACCTACCTTATTTAACATTCTTACACACCTCTACCTCCCTTCCCATGTTCCGACCTTGGGTAGGAGATTAGTAAGGAAAAGGGCTGCAGACCTCTTTCAGCTACTTCCTGTCAGGATACCAGCAGCCCATTCAAACAGCAAAGTAGCAAACCATAGCAGCAGCAGCAAAGAGCAACAGAGACAAGACTCCGCCCAAATGACAGGATCTGCCAAAGCAGAGAAATTCCACCAAAGCAGAGAAACTCCACCAAAGCAGCACAAAAAGTTCTCTGAAGTGTTTCTCTCTGGGAAAACCAGCAATGCAAAGTGTGGTAATGCAAAAAGTGTCGTCTCACTATCTGTGAGCTTCTTTTCATCCCTTTTCGAAATCCACACAAAGATGTTTTCCAGCTGGCAAAAAACTACAGCCCTCTCAGGAGGTAGTTTCCAGTTTACAAACATCACATGCCTTTTCATGTGGGCAGTTTTCCGAAGGGGTGGGAATATTCCCACATCCCACACTTAGAACCAAAACAAAAAACATATTCACATCACATGACACAACTGAGTTTCAAAAAAACCCAGAAACTTCCAATTCAAATTTATTTTTCAGAAAATATGGCAAAATATTTCAAACTTAATGAAAAAATAATAAATTCATGAAACTCAAGTACCTGGCACATGGAAAGGATCATTAAATAAACAAAATTGCTCAAAATATGTGAGAAAATTCTAAAATCATGCACCAGGGAAAAAAAATCAGCACAAATAAAAAAGTGAAGATGAAAATGAGTTCCATCAGACAAAAGATGATGCACAAAGCAACAGAGCAACATCTTTAAAATGCATGAAAAGAATACTGTCAAGCTAGCTTTCTATACCCAGCAAAAATATCTTTTAACAGAGAAGACTTTCGTGAGATGGGGAATTTTTAATGAGCTGCAGCAAACGAGCTTTGAGAAGAAATGTTATAGAGTCTTTTAGCTGGGAGGAAACTGGGTACACTTACAGCAGTTAAGGCTATGAACAATGAAATGCTCACTGTCTCAATCATATCTCACATGGTGAGAACAACAGATGGCTACTTAAAACAATCTTAAATGACATACTTACAACATTACAGGTAATATTAAGAACACCAGCTATTTCTCTTCTTGGCTTTCCACGTCTAAATTCCTGTGGAATTTTGTAGATTTCAAGTTCATCATGCTTAATAGCTTTGCTTTAGGAATATTGTTGCCTAGCAACATTTTGTACTTTGGACAATGAGAAGTCATTTGGTATTCCATTTTCCTGTTTTCACTGAGGTGATTTTATTCTTCAACATACAGACTTTCCTCTCAAATGGCAGAACTTAAATTAAAATTGTGTTTCCATGTGCCATAACCACTGATCACAGCTGATGGGTTTACCTGTTGCTCAGAAGCATCTACAGGAAATTGAACACCCGGCTGTAACTCGCCGCTGCTATGGACCCCTGGAGGCAGCGCTATGCTTGAGTGTCTGTCAGGTGCACAGAGTTAAATATCTGCTCATCAGGATGAGGAACACTAATTTATCTCTCCAGAAAAACGCTCAACTTTTCCTCCAGCTTCCTTTAATGAAGCTTCATCCATCCTTCAGGCTTAAGCCATGAGTAATTTCTGGTAAGTAAATGTTCTGGAAAGCTGAAGCAAATCTCTATTTTTGTTTGTTTGTTTGTTTGTTTGTTTGTTTGTTTTAGTCTTTTAAATCTGCCCAATTTCCCCTGACATCCTAAATTATAATACCATGCTCCACAGAGGGTAGTGCATCATTGTTTGATCAAAATGAGCACCAGGATGACACGGGCTAATTTGCCCTTGGTGGAGCCCTGTGTGTGTGTAGATGTTGGCATTCAGTAAAGACTGCTTTTGTTCACTAGAGCTCACTACCCATGAGCAAGGCAATACTGCTCCTGCCCATGCACCATGGCAGCAAACACTCGGCTACTCATGACCTCCATCTTCCTCACTGTCTGTCATCAAACACTTCACTGCTCTTCCTGGATTAGAAGCATTTAAAAGTGGTTTTGTACACGTTAGCTGAAAAGAATAATTTACTTTTTAGATGGTGATAGATCCGATAACATTGGGTATGATCTTTAAATTTTGTGACCGTCCTCAAGTAAAGTTAATGCTGCAGAAGAACAAATTATCCCTTCATCACGAAAGGCTCCTGCCACGGATCACAGGAGAACAAGCGTGCACTCTTCAGAAGTGAGAGCTTACAAAAAGCAAGACAAACAGGTCACAGCCTTAGACTGTAAATGAGAAAGTATGGACAAAAATCTTCATTATGTGAGCAGGTTAGAAAGAGTGTAATGGTGCTGGGGGAAAGGCTTCATGGACAAGGCTCATGCTGCGCAAGTGTGCAAACGTGAGTGTGACTCCCTGGAACCCAAGTGAACCAGACAGGGGAGTGGTCATCCGTAATGCCTGCACTCCGAAAGGTGGAAAGTAGAGTCAGAGGTCAGCTAGCCTGCTCTACAACGCAGCAAACAATTGCTTCTACCCCAAGACTGTCCTACAAATGAACACAGAGGAACACAGACGCACACATGTGCACACGCACACAAACACACAGGGAGAGAAGACTTACAAAAACTACTGCAAAAGAATAAAAATTCCAGACACCGCATAGTTTTCACTGAATTCAAGTTACTTGAAACTCCCCACATTGTAAGAACAGTGTTAATGTCCAAGGTAAGCAAGCAGTCAGCACCTCTTCTACCCTACTAAGGATAAATGTCAAATACATTTATATAATGTGTCCATCATGTTTTAAAAACTGTGTGTGTGTGTGTGTGTGTGTGTGTGTTCCTGTTGCTAGGCATCAACCCCCAGGCCTCAAAAATACTAGGCAAATAGTCTTCCTAGTCTTCTACTGAACTACAGCTCTAACCCCACTAATATTTTTATGGTTCTATATATACTTGAATCTATTTGGATTCACTGTGGTATGGACTTTTCTTACATTCTGGCCTCTGATTATCCGGTTATCCCAGCAGCACATGCTGAGTTATGCCTTAAAAACGAGCCATGCCACCTGAGCAGGGCCACCAGAACGCTACACTGAGTCCTTCTGACAAGACTCCGTGCTCCTCTTGTGGGCTTTGCTCTCTAATGGCACTGTGCCTATGGAGGAACCCCGTCCCTTCTCTACTTTCCCCGGCACCCAGAATGAAACACTTTTCTACTTTCCCTGGTGGTCATAGTGTTCACCTCCCTCATAGAGTAGCCACCGTAAGGAACAGAGACTATTAAAAACAACAACAGAATTTCAGACTGCACTGGGCAAGCTCAGCTCTGAGCTCCTGCCTGTCCTTGAGCACACAGTCCTGTCTGGCCAGAGGACCTTTTATGTAGCTTTAACCTTTACAACCTCTTTTTATTAAAACTTCCTGTACTGTTCAAATTTACCCAAAGCATTTTCTTTTCACTCTCCACCCCAACCCACCCCAGACCTTTGTGTCATGCCCTGTCTACCTCACACCCAAAGCCAGTTCCTCAGTGGTTTATTTCGCTTACTGCTTCCAACCCGGACTGGCATTTCCTACCTTCATCATTCAAATGGGTCCTCGACCAGTTATACTTAGAGGGTTTGGCATAAAACAGGCACTGGGTAGACATGGATGAAGACCTACCTCATTTCATTTGTAAATTACCAAAGAGAAGCTATGAAACTTGCCCAAGAAAAAGATGGCAGACCCATGAGGTCTATATATTACTATTCTATGGTGACTGTGTATTTGACTGTGCATGTGTTGGTGTGTTGGTGAAAATTCTTACTGCTCTGGGAGTATATCTCATGTCTCTCCTCAGCACTGTCAATTAAGTAACTGACACAGAACAGATTCTAAAATTAAGTAATTTCCTTTTCACACTAAAAATTTAAGAGGTGTTTACATTACATTAGAATTGCATATACAGATACTGTAGTCTACTTACCTTGCTTCCCAGGATAATGGAATTGAGTGGTTATATTCCAAAAAAACCTAAAATTTGTTTTAAAGGTGAGCTTTCAGAAAGAAATGCCCTTACCAGTGGCAATCCAGAGGAGGTTACTATGTAAACTGCTTCAAGGAGACCAATGTCAAATGTTAAGACAGCAACGAAAGAAAGACACTCTGTTCACAGGCCTGACAGGCCACAGAGCGAGGCTGCTCACTCAAATACCATGCCTGGTTCCTAGCCAGGACCATTTGTCGAGAAAATACATCTTTCGTGCTAACCTTGCATCCAGGTTTTGGTCATGCTATATAAACACTAAACGATCACCCACCTGACTATTTTCTATATGATGAACTTTGGCTGTTCACTGTAAGTCTCCTCTAACACACATCACAATGCCATTGGGTAACACCTGCCTCTTGAAACAAATACAGTTTTCTATGCAGAACGACGTCTATGCTGTCAGCTAATTTCATGTCAAACACTGTTGGAAAGACTAGCAAAATCTTTCATTTTTCACCTGAAACTGCTTTCAACTATTTAGCACTTCTGAAGCAAAACAACAGTCTTGCTCGGGTATTTACCTGGTTTCTCGAAGCTCACCTCATCATGCCACAGCTGATGTTAATTTCTTATAAGCAGTAGAAAGCCAAATGAAGCAATCTTCAGAGCACTGTCTGACTGCAAATCTCCTTCCCGAATCCCTTAATCACAAGCAACATTTGCTCCAATCTGACCCTGCTTTGGAATTAAAGTTTAACCTCCTGAGCCATTATGCATCAATTAGCCACACAGTGTCATTTACGGTCTATTTATCCGTGACAGTCATGTTCCGTACGTATTCTCTTAGGGATTACACAGTATGGTTTGCGGATGTCTTGCTTCAGCTTGATTCATTACTATCTCCTCTTTCTAATGTAAATTTAAGACCAAATGCAGCATGGCTCTAAAAGACATTTCTCCCAGAGGGTAAAAAAATTGGGTTTTCCACCTTGGAGAAGTTGGTGGTGGGTGATCAAAATACATCTTACAAAATTCTCAAAGAATAAAATATTATTTTAAAAAATCTCATTCAATATCCTATAATGTTCAGTGATCATCATAAAGTAACTCTTCATTTAATTGTGGAATTCAGGTGAGACAGTAATTCATACAAAATGGCAACAGTGTCAAGTCCAAAGTGACTACATTGTAGGACTCCACACAACCAGATCTTATACATTCCTGGCCTGTACCTTCTCTAGATACATCCCATCTGGAGGAAGGATAAGTGATAATATCAGGAGGCAGTGAAAGCAAGAGAACTGAGGTCTGGGTACCAATGTTCTGTAAGGATTTTATACATGAAAACTGCCCTGTAACATGAAATGGAATCCTGAAGCATGGGTCATTATGAAGAACAGGAAGTGAGGACACCAAGGAAGGGGGAATAGAAATGCTGAAATCCTGCTGTAGTGAAGCACCTATCAACAAACAGCCAAGGAGAGAGATCTAGGCTAAAATCCCCAAAGGGTCCCTGTTCTGTGCCCAGTACATCAAATGAACACCTAACTTTCAAAGCAAGGCAGATCTGTCAACTCTGATCCTGGCTTGCAATTACAGTCCTGTACAGATCAGCACGTCACATGATCTCTGAAAAGATCGGTTCTTTTTCCTTGATAGATGTGGGAAGTGTGGACACTGTACCCTGTTAGAGTGTGCGTTTACTTAAAGATGGAAGCGTGAGGTAACTTGCCACAGTCCTGTGAGCAGCCGCTCAGACGGCAACAACACAGGCTCAGTTCCTTCTCACCTTCACGTTGGGTTTGGACAGCAGTTTCAACAGCTCCCTGATCTCACTACTCAGCGGCTTGTTCTGGAGCTCCTCCGCCAGCTGCAAGGGAGATGACATCAACGTGAGTAGCAGCTCACACAGCGCCCTCAGGCTCGCTGTGTCACGGCTGAGTCTGTTTGCTTTCCAGAGCTCCAGGATAAGTCAGCACGGAATGAAGCAGCCCATCAATCCATGCTCTTCTTCCCAGACTCAAGCCCAGGCTGAGTGCAGCTGGAGTACTCCCGCCAGCCAGTTCACCTTCTGATTTACTGCCAGGAGGGCAGATCCCAGCACTTCATCTACGTGAATGGTCTTCTGCACACAGACAAAGGGCCATTTGTAAAAGGCCTGGATCAGCTTTGACAGTGTACAAAAAAGAAAAAAAGAAAAAAAAAAAAAAGGGAGAGAGACAGCTTCTGGATGAGGTGATGAAATCCTCAGGGCTTCCAGAAACCCACAGTAGTGGTGCTGTTCAGAGCTGGGGTAAAAATGCCTCGGCTGCTTCCAACAGTCAATGGCCCATCGCCTTTATTACATTTCTGTACAGTCTACAAAGTCTATTAAACATGAACCCACAACAATTTGGCAACTACTAAGGTACCAAAACTACCAGCAGTACTATACTGTAATCATCAAGAATCAAAGAAAAGACTGGAACGTTGAGCCTGACTCGTGTTCTCCAGTAAGAGATCTGGAATGTTCTCACCGCAACCAAGTATGCTGACGTGGCAGACGAGCTAACTCCCTTGAGCTAATCCTTACAAAATGTGTATGTGTGCACAAGAGCGCTAAACCACACCCCAGAAATATACACTATCACCATTGGCCAATTGTAAACAAGGTAAAATGTAGAGAAAGAACTTCCCAGTGAGCTTTCTAGTCAATTTTAGTCTAAGAAACACTATACACACATTAAAAACAAGATTCAAACAGTAAAATAAAGGATTAGAATTATGAAATATATGGTATATTATTAGAATATGTATTTAATATTTCTTCTTAAAACACCCCATTAGTCCTACCATTCTGGCAGGACAAGGTGATTCTTATCTACACAAGAGGAGCTTTCTGAAGAGTTACAATATACACAGACAGCAAAAATCAGAGGAAATAGATTCATCAATTACACTATAAAATTGCTTTCATTTTATAAAGATACAAATCTTTTACATAACTTTTAACCTACACAAAGAGCTCATTACTCACTGCATACATGCATTTTAACATTTCAACACTCTACTCTGGTGAATTAAACAACAGGGTTTATCATGACTAACAGATTCTAACTTGTGTTTGTTCAGGAACTTCTGGACCTTGAATCCATATGGCACATGCCTGTCAATCAAGAGCAAAAGTGCAGCCTGGAGAGATGGCTCAGCAGTTAACCATTGCTTTTCCAGAAGACCTGAGTTTGGTCCCCAGCGCCCACATCAGGCAGCACATTACTGCTGTTAACTCCACCTCCAGGGGATCCTCTTCCGGTCCCACAGGCACACACAAGCACATGCACACACAAATTTAAAAAAAAATAGTAAGAACTAAATCTTTAAAAGAACTTGCTATCATTTGCCTGGAGGGACACGTTGGTGTGCACACAAGTACTTCCAAAACCTCCCCCTGCTCCATGTCTACATACTGGTTTTTAAGGCTCTTTCAAGACACAACCGCAGCAACTTGTAGGACTATCTTTACCCCTTTTTTATTTGCCTTTTAAAGTGGGTTCTGGGTCCTGGCTGCAAGTACACATCTTGGTGGGCCATGTGTTACAACACACGCCTGTCTGCAGAGAACACAAAGGGACATACGTGCCTGCGAGCTGAGCAGCGCATAGCTCCGGGTCAGCCTCAGGGGCGTCAGTTACGTACAAGGGTACAAAGTCAACTTTGGAAGATGGTAGAGCTTCTGTTTTCATTCGGGCCCTGACATTCTACATCACTGAGCTATGTTTTGCTTTATGGCAACAAGAGCACAGGGGAAAAGTGGCAAATAGGCTGCAGCAGTCACCAGCACACAGAAACACACTGCTGCCCAGCTCCACACCCTGACAGCTTGTCCAGGTGTGTTCTCCATTCATCTGAGTCCCGGAGTTACCAATGGGAACCACAAGTGAGTTCCCCTTTCCTAGGCTTAAAATAAAATTATAGCGACAGGAAATTAACTACTCCATCAATGCCAAATGCTTCGAAAATTTATTTTTTGGTTATGAAGGTAATTTGGAATGGTCTAATATCCATAAATCATTACTATACTCCATAATCCATTTTGAAAACAATCCTGCCTTTTATGGGTTTAATATGCCCAATTCCTATCCCAGTATCTGTCATTTTTTGTACTGTCAGCAACGTAACTATCTCATTTGTCTTTATTTCTCCAAAGCATTCCCCTTGTGTGACTTTCACAGAACACTGAAGCCAGACAGTTCTTCTCTGCATAGAATTTGAAGCCTACAATTTGTATTACATAATCACCAAGGAAATACCAGGGTAGCTCTACGCACAATGTTAGAAAAAAAAAAAGTGGCTAGAAATCCATGCAGCAGCAACAGGAGCTTGGTGATGACAGGGATTTGGGAAACATTTGCAACTTCTTCTGGTTTTCACTCAGAGGATCACACACATCTGTCTGCAATGGGGTAGGTCCCCCTTGGGCCAGGTCCGTGGGTGACATATCCTGCAAACCCAGAGAGGTACACTTACATCATCAGCCAGCGTCGCTGCTCCGTGGAGAATGGGCGCCGGGCTGTGCTTCTCGTAGTAGTGCAGCTTTTCATGAATCTGGAAAAAATAGACAGCAGTATGAGCTCACCTGCCAGCAAAGCACTGTGGGTACTTCAACACTTTCACTACTGTGAGCAGAATCAGCTCTCTCAATCATTTTAAAGTCACATGTTAAGATGGTAGAGATGTGTCTACAACCCATTAATTATGAGCAAGGATCAAACGGCAAAAGCACATTCAAACAGAACACATAAGAACACCAAGCCTCTGTTTTTCCTCCTGAACAGAGTGCACTGTTCATAAGCTACACTGCCTCAAGATTTCAGGTATCACGTGTACCTTTGTTAGGCTGGTCTGCAAAGGGCTAGCAGGCTCTGTGAGCTGCTGAAGCCAGGCACATGCACCCTACCGGGTATGCTGTTCCAACTGCTTGCTTTGTTATCCCCTCCACTCTCCTCCCCTCCCCACCCCACCCCACCCCACCCCATTGTCACTTCCCAAATTCAAGTCTGAAAGAAATTAAGGGATTTCTGACTGTAGACATCGTTACTATCAGGTTAAGTAACATCAGGCCCCATAATGCAAAATGTTGTCATATTTGTTTAGCTATTTTATTGGGTTCCAACCCTTACTCTACCCTAATCCCTTTCAACCCCCAACGCTAGGTAGGAGAGAGAGAAGGGAAGAGAGGACAGGGGACAGGGGACACAGCCCTCTATAGGCTACTTCCTGCTGATTGGGGGTACAGAGTTCCTTGAGGCAAGCCAAATCTTGGTCATCATAATACACAGCACAGTTCAGCAGTCCAGCAACCTAGCAACAGCAAACACAACAGCAAAAGCCACAGCAGGAGGGAGCAACAGCTGCCACAGGGCCTCTGGGTGCTCTCCCATGTATACCCTCTCGGGAGTCCCCAGAATTAAATTATCTGCAGCTAGCAAAGATCATGGCCCTGCAAGTGCACAAGGCAAATTATAATCCCATACTGTAAAGCCGCCTCTTATCCATACCTGGGATTAAAACGAAAACATATTCACATAACTGGATTTTTAAAGAAACCAAAACTCACTACACTAAAATAAATAAATAATATTAAAAAATAAAAATAACCCCTTTCATCATCATGACCTAATAAACGTAAGCAAGAATGTATTTACAAACAGTGTGAGGCAAACCGAGTTTCTTTAACAATATTTGGCTAGAGATATGGCTCAGCAGTTAAGAGTGCATGATGCTCTTGCAGGGGCCTCAAGTTCAAATCCCAGCACCCACAGCAGGCATCTCCCAACCACGCATTGTGGTATAGTAAGTGACACCTTCTTTGACCAGTATGTGAAGTGACCATCTGAATTTATGTCCCCTCCTTGAGAACTCACTTTAGCCTATTCTTATGGATAAACTATCCTCTACTGTGTTTGAAAGACTGTCTCACCAGGCCCTGTCAGTCATATTCACAGCTAGTCAGCCCCTTGCAAGAGTCTGCAAGAGAGATTTTCTTTTGATTAGCCAGACGCTCCTGCTGAGAGCAAGTTCTATTACTTTTGGCAACCTGGTGTAGAAGGCAGGACATCCAGGAAAGGCTGTGACAGTTACGGCATTACCAGAATGAGCAGAGTTTTTGTTGTTTTTTTTGTTTGTTTGTTTGTTTGTTTGTTTGTTTGTTTGTTTTCCCCTTTAATATCTTGGACCCTTTAAGCTTAAATATTTATCACTAATTATAAAGAATGTAAGAAATTAAATACTTTTTAGGAAGCCATGAAATTATGATTTGAAACAAAACTGAGGCATGCTGAAAGCCAAATCTATGTTTTAAACAATCACCTAGTGGTAGGCTGCTCAGTCACGTCCAACACACACACAACTCAAATTTGTATAGTGGAACATACTGTCAACTTGACGGGATCTGAAATCACCTAACAAATCAGCAAAGCTTTGGGCATGTCTGTGACGGAGCTTCTAAGTTAGGTTGACTAAGGGGTGGGGGAGACCCCTCCAAAGGCAGCATTTACTCCATGGACTTGTGCCGCACACTGACTGGAGAGGAGTAATGAGCTGTGCACCAGTGTCCAGCTCTCTCTGCTTCTGTGTTGTGGGTGCAATGTGAGAGCTGACTGATGCTCCCACCGCTGTGCGCTGTCCCCAACAGCGGACTGTATCCTCAAGCCGTGAGCTGTCTGTCTGCCACGATTAACCCGTCTGTCCTTAAATCGCTTTCTGTCAGTATTTTATCACAGCAATGATAAAAGTAGCTAGTATATGTTTCGTTTCTGAAATGAGTTTGATCCTAAAGAAAAGGAAGTATGGAGTATGGTGGCATAGTCCTGTAATTTCCATATGACAGAGACCAAGGCAAAAGGATCCCAAGTTTAGGGCTATCTCGGGCTACATAATGTAATCCCAGTTTAAAAAAAAAAAATGAAGTTAGTTAAAAGAAAAACACAAAGAAAATGGAACAGCTGCACATGGTATCACGTTCAAACAGAAGTTAGTTTGATATACAAAATACAACCTTTTCCCCTTTAGTGGCTTTTATCAGGTATTAACCACAGCAAGGGGGGAGGGGAGAACCACTTAAGCTTTTCCCACTGATTTTAATATTATCTAAAAATCACATTCCAGGGGCTCGAGGGAGTGTTCAGTGGGTTAGAGCACCCACGCTCTTGCAGAGTACCCAGTTTGGCTCCCGGCACCCACGCTGTGTCAGCTCACCTCCTATACTAATGCTAGCTCTAGGGAAACCTGTCCCTGCTGGCTTCCAGAGCCACCTGCACTCACACGCACATAAACACACACAGAGTTTAAAAACAAGTTACTGCTGTTGATTTCAACGAAATACAGCTGGGCACAGTGGAAACTGCCTGTACCCCAGATGGGGCTTACTCAGGAGGTTTTTCAAGGCCCCAGAGTATAAACGACAAGCCCAAGTATCAAAAAGAAATCCTTAGGTGTACAGATTTCAGTACGATTATCCTATATTATACGTATAATATCCACGTATAAGTATATACCATGTATGTCTTTCTGTTTCTGGGATACCTCACTCAGGATAATCTTTTTCCAGATCCCACTATTTGCCTGAAAATTTTATGATTTCCTTCTTTTTAATTGCTGAGTAATATTCCATTGTGTAAATGTACCATTTCCACAATTTCTGTATCCATTCCTCAACTGAGGGACATCTGGGTTGTTTCCAGCTTCTGGCTATTACAAATAAAGCTGCTACAAACATGGTAGCTAATCAAGAAGGTGGACCCTGAGGTAAGATGCTCAATCTTCATTCAGAAAGGCAAAGGGGACAGACATCGGAAGAGGGAGAAAACAGGGAACAGGACAGGAGCCTACCACACAGGGCCTCTGAAAGACTCTGCCCAGCAGGGTACCAAAACATATGCTAAGACTCACAGCCAAACTTTGGGCAGAGTGTAGGGAATCTTATGAAAGAAGGGGAAGACAGAAAGACTTGGAGAGGACAGGAGTTCCACAAGGAGAGCAACAGAACCACAGGAGTCTTTTGTGAGACTGATACTCCAACCAAGGACCATGCATGGAGATAACATAGAACCTCTGCACAGACATAGCCCATAACAGCTCAGTGTCCAAGAGGGTACCCCAGTAATAGGAACAGGGACTGTCTCTGACATGAACTCAGTGGCTGGCTCTTTGATCATTCCACCTGAGGGGGGAAACAACCTTACCAGGCCACAGAAGAAGACAATGAAGCCAGTCCTGATGAGACCTGATAGACTAAGGTCAGACAGAAGGGGAGGAGGACTGGGGGAGGGGCATAGGAGAAAAGGAGGGAGGGAGAGTGGAATTGGGAGGGGTTGGGGGAGGGGGCTACAGCTGGGATACAAAGTGAATAAACTGTAATTAATAAAAATTACAAAAGAGAGATCCTGTGTGCAAATAATAAGTACAAATAAAAATAAAATTTTAAATAAATAAAACTTTTGGCTCGACTCTATGCTGACTGGTTGAGCCAACAGTTATTCTGTTCTTGTGTTAACGCTTGGTGCCAGGGCTTCATTCTCTGATACATACGGACTAGGTATTTAGATGCCATGGGAAACCAACTTCATTATCTCTCAACACTCTGAGTAACTGTCTCCATGTTCACTTCTCTGAAGCTGGGCCTTTTACGGGGTTTTGTACAAAGGTTTCCAAGGTTGGTAGGAGCCCCTTTTAGGAATAGTTTTAAGCACCATCTGATCACCGACCCTGTAATCTCATCTACTGACTCTGATGCTTTCACAGTGTAAAACTACCAGATCGGGCAGACTAAAAAAATCAAACCCTAAGACATGGACCACCTGGCAGCTGGTCTGTGGTTACAAATTCTTATAGCAGAAACTTTGCTTCCTACCATATTGCAGAAGAGGTACAGGTCTCTCCTTTCCGTAAGGAGAATTTGTGACTGTGTAACACACTGTGTTACAATAGCAAATCAGAAATGTCTGTGTGTGTCATAATCTTCTACCCATGCCTGGTCTCAATTTCAGGAGAGTGAGCCCACACCCACCCTGACCAGACTGCTACAAAGCCGCTACAATGCAAGCTGAAGCAGATAATGGTATGCAATTTATCCTTCAGTTCTGAAACGAAATTCACTTTTACTGTACTTTCTTTTAAATTTAGAAATGCATTAAAAATAGTTGTCAATACCAAGAAACTATGGGTACACATATTGTTGCTTTTATAACAACCATGAGGAAGCCGTAAATAATGAATCCAAAACACGTGCTTTTCTTAACACTGCTAACAATACAGCAGCACAATTTACACTGCTAGCAACATCTAGTAATAAACAAAAAATATTAAACCATAAGATTAAAGAAGTTTGCAGTTACCCATAATTTCTAAATATTGGAGGACTAAAAGGGTAGGTTTGCAATTTAATACAAATTAACTCTGGCTTCCACCAGAGCAGCAGTTAATTTATTTATTGCAGAATTATCATGAAAGGAAAAGAACTTACGAAAGTTTATATGAGAGTTCTCAAGAGTTATCGTGCCCATTCTGCTCACGCGCGTCATTCTTTGGGCACTTGTGCCTGCCAT